TCAGAAGAGGGAGAGCTCGGAAGAGGGAAATGACAGCGCGAGCCGTTGCTTTTTTTCTTTGTTCCTCTCGATCCTCGTACGCCGCTTAATCGAGAAAGTAATTTCTCGAGATGTCTATATTTAACCGCCGTGTCTAATGATTGCGCGTGTACGCGCTGCAGTATACGCTATATTCCACTTCCACCATGCGGACGTCGCACTTTGATTATTACGTACGCGGCCGCGGCGGACGATCCCACATCTCCGTCAATCTCCGTGTGAAACTTAGCGGATCGACTTCCTTCCCCGCGAATCATAGCTATTCCGCGCGGACTCTCGCGAGTGATCCAATTCCGCGTAAGTGGATGAGAACCAACGGCGTACCGTTCCCGCCATCGCCGCCGCTGCAGCCGCCGCTCGCATTCTGCCGCATTTCTGCGTCGGTGCATTAGCCGCGCGCGCAACAAGCGCGATCCGTCCCAGAAAGTCGTGTAAGCGCGCGCGCTCTGCCCCCGACATTTACGATCCGTTGCCGAAGCCGTTTTCTTACATGGCGCGTGATGTAATCGAATCAACATAATTCGCCCGTGCAACAGCACGGCTGATCGCCCCCTTGTCTGTTCAAAGGCCAACCGTGTATACCGTGAACCGTAAATACCGAGTAGGAATCCGAGTACGCCGCAACGAGGCGATCCACTCGCTACATTGAGAAAAAAGATTTGTTGAAAAACGCAAAATTTGTTTCATTCTATCAAAATATTTAGTCCGATACTCGTTCAACTAAACGTTACTATAACGATGACACAAAATAATTTGATTACTATTATAGACGAAATACTATTTTTTAACTGAACTATTTTGTTTCAACATAAATTTGTCGTATTTAACTCAACCGTTCTATTAAAAATACACACTATTTATTATTCCCGTCAGCATCGTTTAGTCAGTTTGATGCTTGGAATTTAAACAAATATATTACTTGGATAACTAAATAGCATGTGCAAACACAAATAAATACTAGTATTTCGAACGAAATAATTTAATTGAGTTGGTTCAGGTAATTCTTGATTTAAAAATTTTGGTAGTTGACATAAATGAACTTTCTTTGCGCAACTAAAGAATTATTGAATTAACTATTGGATCAAACAGCTATACAAATTTAGTTCGTACAATTAATTTTTTTTCCCAGTATAATTAAAATCTCGTGATTCATCCTCTGCTTCGAATTTGCCTCGATTTATTGATAGTCGCGTTGTCGATTCGCGTCGAGCAGCGACGTCCGGCGATGCCTGTGAAAAAGTTAGGTATTTCTTGCAAAAAATGAGAAGTACCGCGCGATTTTACATGAATATCTCTCGCTCCGCGCGAACTGCAGAGTCTCGCGATTTGAATGCGAATCAATTATTAATTATGTCGCCCGGCCGCGCGCGGGATCGACTTGGACTCGGATTGCGTAACTCTCCACGTCGACGACGGGAAGGATTCGTAACGGTCTAATTAAAATTTCTGATCGCATCTCTGCTGCGTATCGCCGCTTGTATTATCACAGCGCGCGCACCTCGCGCCGACCGCGCGCGCGCGCGCGCCACGCTTCGGAAACACCGCTGAGCCCCCGTGACTTCCGTGAGTAAGAACTGGCTGATTTACAAGTCCGCACGTTATTTTTTTTTTCACCTCGCCCGTAATCTCTCCGTCCTTAACCACTAATTTGTTGCGTATCTCTTCTTTCTTTGCACCGTGCAACGGCACGAGCAGATCGTTACCGAGCCGATCGTGAGAGACCGCGAGCGGTGAATCCGCGCGGTGGATCGGCGAATCGATTTGGCGATTCTCGTCGGGTTGACTTTCGAATTCCTATCTAACAAGTATCGCTCCGCGCGGTACTAACTTCGTCCGTTTCCACTGACTGCGAGCCCTCTCGCGATTACCGCAGAATCGATCTTGCCGTATTGTACCTTCGATCGCCATTCGATTACCATTGCCGTTATACTTTCTCCTGCGCGAATCGCTGCATCGGATTTTATTTGTTTTGTGTACATCTCTTTCTCTCTTTCTCACTCTCTCATTCATTAGCTGTCAAGTTTTGAGCCGCGCTGCAAAAAAAAAAAAAAAAAGAAAAACGGACGCGCCGATGCATCGCGCCGATAAGCACGCATAAATTTACTCCCTTTCGACAATAATTAAGCCTCTCCTCGCCATTCGTGATAAATGATCCGCACGAATGCAAAACTATACAGAACGCCGCGGGACGCCGCTCTTCCTCCCGCTTAATGATACAATTAGTTCCGAATGAAATTTCGCTAATTAACTCTAATTACCTATACGCACGACACCCGAGTGATCCTAAGATCGTGAGTCGCCGATTTTCCGGGGCTCCGCTTTTTGCCGCGCTGCAGCTGCGCGACGTCCTTCCTCTTGGCTCCTCTCCGCTTATCTGCCTCGGTCGTCCGCCCGCGTTTTCGATATACCGGCGACAAGCGCACTGCTTTCAAGGCACTTCGAGCACGCGTCCGGGTGAAGAGAGCGCGGAGAATCGACCGTTGATCGCCGTTCGGCACGCGGAAACTTTATCGACAAGAACGTTTCACGCGGGCATCGCGCGCGCTGTCATAATTAGCACGGAACCGCGGCG